ATTCTCAATGTGATTAACCCTTTTAAAAAAAAACCTTTTTTTCGTAATACAAAATAAATAAATCAAACATCCGTTTAATTTTTTTTATTCTCCTTTCTTGCTAAGAACCCATGTATAATACATTTCTTAGATTTAATTGTAAAAAAGGAATTTTAACAATACCTTTTGTTTTAAATATTAACAGGATCTGATTTGCTCGAAGGAACTACAAAATAAAATTCAACAATATCTTGGTCGCAAAAATAAATTAAATTCCTCTATTTTCATTCTCTCGCAAAAGATCCTCCTAAGAATAAATTAAAATTATTTAGGTTTATTTAACTTCAGTAATTTTTGACGTATCGTTGGTTGCTAAACTACTTTTCGTTATTTCTTTTTGGGCCCATTCGATGCCATTGGATACGTGGGTTGGCAATTTAGATACGAAATCGACAGTTGCAATAACTCCTTGATTCCAATAGCTTGCTGCACATGTTTTTAAAACTCCAGGACTCGGTATGGTATGTATCTAAAAATAATTAAAAATGCATGCTAATAAAAGTAGAACAACATTAAATTCAGAATGCAATGAAAAATTGAATTACTTACTTCTTGAACCATTTCTCGAGGCAAGTTTTGCTGGATTAATGGACTAATACTGCTGTAAAGTTTGTTGTATAATTTTCCAGACTCCTCTGGACTAGACCACAGACCTTCTTCTATTGTGTAATAAATAACACCACCTGCTATGCTACTTTTAATGACAAACCTATAAATATACATATCAGGTAATAATGTATGAACGGAGGAGTTCAAGCGTTTCATCTATAATTCATTCAAATTAATTTTATCCACTGATTACGAGAACCGTAAATTTTGTAAGTGATTACATTATTGGTATATTATTCTCGAGAGTGAGAGTCGAGTGACGTATCATGCAAATTGCTTTGGGAAAATGTTTTTGCATGCCAATATGTGTTTTGAGGGTTGAAATGCTGTATTATACACATTCAGGGTGTTAATTCTAAATATATATATCGAATGTGCACTTTTTCGAAACTAATATCTACTTGAGACTAAAAAAATAAATTTTTNTTTTATAGACTATCGGGTATGGAAGCCTAATAATCGCCATGGTGAGGATACTAACGGGGGCATTTTATTTAGGTGTTGGCTTTTTCGTACGAATCTTTGTGTGAGATAAATGGCAATTAACAAAATTAAGTGTACGATCCGTGTATTCAAATTGGTAACAATTGGTGAGAGTCGGAAAAGGAAATGGCACGGGGGATGAGCACTTTGTAAAAAAAAGAGAGCCTCTATTCACGGCAGTTTGATCTTTTTAAACAAAATGCTTGATTGTTCATTTGTTACTTTTTTAACAAAATTTTAACTTTAACGGCACATACCTACAAGCACTCACATTTTTCTAAATTATTAATCAAAAAATTGTCAATGTAACAATACAGTGCGTCATCGACTAGTTACGTTATACATCCAAAACACTATATGTATTTAAAACCTTTACCGATCGATGGCGCACCCTTGGGTTTCGGGTCTGTATGAGGATAATCCTCGACATTATTAACAGACAGTAACAAAAAATAAGAAAATAACCGCTATAAGAGGAATAAAAAATATGTATCATACATCCTAACTTATTTTTGCTTGTGGTGTTTTTTTTTTCCTCCCCCTCTTACATTAATATTATCCAATGTACGCCTATAAAGCCCCCTAATTGTCTTGCGACATAACGATCTAACCGGGGTTTTAAAAATGCGACTCTGCGGGTGTTGGATAATGCGAATAAAGGACTGTCCGACTCCTCTTCCACATACACCATCTACTCCTCCTGTTCGACAACAACACCAACTCATTCTTGCTCCGCAGGCTACTTTGAGACCGACTGGTGGCGTCCCAGGAAAGGTGGGTCTACACCTAACTACCTATGTATGTTTCGTCTTCTTTTCACTTTTGTTGTCACGTAATGATGATGATGATTTACTTACAAGTTTTCTGTTTTTTTTTTTTTTTTTTTTTTTTTTTTTTTTTTTTTTTTTTTTTTTTTTTTTTTTTNTTTTATTATTTTTTTTTTTTGTATCAAAGGATGTTAGTTAAAATGTTTCACTCATACTGTACCCTTAAATGATATACAAAACTCTGTAGAAAGCAAATTCATAGCATGAATGTATAAAAAGAAAAATAAAAAGGTGCTTGTGAGACGAAATTTCCAAAAAAAAAAGTTAGCGTGAGGCAAAATGATAGATTTTCCAAAGCTTACGAGTATGAATATACGAAGAGGCAGAAATTTGGATGTGGAGATTGAACAAAGAAAAAAAAAAAAAAAAAACCATAAAAAATGCAAAAAAATATTTACCAAACGAAACGCTATCTTCTTGCAGCATAGTAATATCGGATGTATCGCCTAGTGAGCGCAGATCGCTGGATATGCTTATCTGACTGGTTGTGTCGCTGGTGCAGACTAATCGAGTGATCGAAACGCAACAATAAACGTAGAAAAACTCGTAATAGCAGGTTTTTTTGTTTTTGTTTATGAAGGCAAGAAAAATTGGTTTTTCATGTAAGCGCAGCAGAGGCAAAATACAATCAAGCTGATAAATAAAACAGTAATCGTGTGTATGTAAATGATAGTGTGCGCAAGCGGTTGTACTTTTCATTGGCATACGAAAAAAAATTACCGATTTGCTTTTAAGAATAAAAAAAGTTGAAATAACAATGGACTTTTTATTCTTAGATATATACGAAGCTATGAAATCCTGTAAATATTTCATATACGGAAAGAAAAGCTCAAGCTCATATAAAACAAAATTATAAACAAAAAAATGACGTATATATACTTAAATAAAGCTCCAAATTTAAAAGCTGCTTTACGTATATATTGACAATCCAGTAAAACTATTGAAGTGAGATGAACATTTTTTTTAAAGAAACCAAAAATAATCTATGGAAATGAAAAATTTACCGGATGACAACAAATTGGTCGTAGTCTCGTTTGACACCGTACTGTCTGGCTGGGTCACTTGCTCGGCTTCTTCCGCAGCAGCTGAATCTTGCACGCTCAACAATAAACCACCTGCGATTCAAACATGAAATACACGAAAGTGGGAAATGATCTATTTTTTTTTTTTTTTTTTTTTAATTTCGTAACGAAACATATGTGTAATCACCCAAGAGCATGTGCGTATTTTGCGGATCGACTTCAACTTGCAACGCGTTGCTCAACAAGTTCATTAGTCTTGGTTTCAATTGTGCAAACGTGATCGGTACTTTATCTTGCGTTATTGAGGTCGTAGTGGGTATTTCCTTGATTTGCAGATTCTAAAACGATTATATAATCATGTAACAAATATCGAGAATCGAATCAACAACGACGAGCCAACGAACTTGAAAATGCAGGGGCAACGCGAGCATCGACAGCAACAAGTGTATCGACGATCTGCGGAGCTCCACTTTGGATACAGAATTCGACCTGAGTCTCAAATCTTTCTCCGGTAGCACGACTTCCAGCGCAGCCAATACAGCTGGAACCAAAACTTGCACGCCATCGAGATCGAGGCGGAACAGATCGGCCGAGTTGCACAGTATACTTGCCAGCGTCTCTCCGCACTCTTTCGTCTGAAACACACACGCACACATGTATATTGTACGTTTCACGGGCATATGAAAAAACCTTTTTTTTGTTTTTGTTTTTTCCCTCCCTAAAATACGATACCTCGGTAAACCTGTTGACTTTCAAGCCGTGGCTCATGGCTTGGTAAAACCTCGCCAGGTAGGCCGGCAAAATTTCCTCCCCGGTCTTCTTGGCGCAAAATATCCGGCAAAGGGTCCCCATGGCCTCGGCCCGGCCGGATTCGTATCTATCTATGCCAAGCGAAGCCGGTACTTCTCCGAGATTTTCTTGCAACGAGCTCGGACCGTCGACGATTACCGATGATGGACGCTTCGGGGCATTGTTTGGCTCTGAAAACGTTCCACCAATCAAAAGAAGACTTTCAAATCCTTTTCAAGTAAACGGCACACTGTTAATATATACTGACGAGGTAAACTTTGCGACCAGCCGTCCGTACCGATGAACGCGGCTTCGAACAGCCACTCTCCAAAAAGATGAAGTATACTGTTGCACTTGGGCCGGCCTGGGGCCAAGGGAGGTCTCGCGTCTTGATTCACAGATCCCATGGCTAAATACAATATATTGTGCCAAGTTTTTTTTCCGCATAAACGAGGCTTCTCGAGTCTAATCGAGTAGGATATTAAAAAAAAAAAAAAAAAAAAAACTCACAAGTTATACTGGAAGTTGAGGAGGGACCCGAATTTGTACTCATCAGCGAGGTGCTGGTGACTCTGCTCGTAGTCAGCCCTATCAGTGACGCCTTTGGAATTCCTGATGGATCAAACGCGTTTACATCACATTACTTATACATTATTGTCATTTTTAATAATGAACCTGCACCCTGGCAACAAACAGTCCATGGATTTCAACGAAAAAAAAACACTATTTACACAGAGCTAGGAATGTTAATTATACACAGATAAGAATAAAATATACAATTCAAATGTAACTATAATATATTAAGTGCAACGAAGGAAGTAAGAGGAAAATCGAGAAGGAGGAAGAACGAAACACAAGACGGAAAAAAAATCGTTGAGAGACAAGACATATTATAATAAAGGATGATGCTTCTTTCTGTTTAATGCAGGAACATGAAGAAACATTTCAAAGCCTCTCAGCAAACAGATATAGAGAGAGAGAGAGAGAGAGAGAGAGATTAAAAGTACCCTTGGTTACAGCCGAGGGTGTGACGCTGAAGCTCTTGGCGAGCCTGCGCTGGGTAGGCGGGGTCGGCGATGGGTGACTCGGTTGGTGGTGGTGTTCCCTAATAGCGAAGCCACGCTCGAGATTGATCGAACCAACGCCACCGGGGCCAATTAGACTGGACGAGGTGACGGCGCTCGAGCTACTAGCTCCCGAGAGCAAGTTGAAGCTCGTTACGCAGCACTCCTCCCAGCAGCAGACTTGCGATATACCTGGGGAAACGATCGTGGTTTTTTTCTTCTTTTTTTCATCCCTTTACCCATCGACTGCTAGAAATTTATTTGGGTCCTCGTTCGCTATGATACCTCGTCTTGTTTTCTCACGATTTTGTAACTCTGCTAGGTAATGAAGTAATTGAGCTAAAGCGGTATTGTATACATCTAACGATTTAAATTCCTAATTCGCGATTTTTACAATTACATGTTATATTGTTAATGGGTTACAAGTTGTTGTTACGTAATTAGTATAGATAATGTGCAAATATTTTGTTGGGATGTAAAGATATATATTATATTGCCCAAAAGCTTGACAGCCACGTATATGTACATCAGTGTGCTTTTCACAGATCAGAGTAGTCACAGTATGATTAAATAGTATCAGTGCACTGTGCAGATTGTTTGCATCCAAGTAATAACAAAAGTCGTCATTTCTACTTACCTAGAAAAGCATCGACCTGGCCGGCGATGCCTTTTATTGCTTTGAGAAATATGTAGGGTAGCTGTTGCAAGCATGGGTGCTGGCATGGATCTATGGTGTTGGGACTGGACAGAGCGTATCTGAGAAATGCTTGGGTCTGCGATATCACGGCTGGTCGGCATAAATCGACTGGATCGCCGATCGTTCGTAATAATCTGTACCAAGCCTGGGAAACGGCTTCGTTTGACATTGTACTTGGTACCAACTGCGAATCTTCTTCGCCTTAAAATAAACCAAATTATTGTTATAGTTATGAGGAGTATTGTGACTATAGTGGTTAATTATTCTCGACTCACTTATTTTGAGTTCTGGAAACGTTGGGCCGTACATTATGTGCAACAGACGTGCTGTCAATGCTAAACAAACACGATTCCATTGTTCAATCAAAGATAATCTGTGTCGCCAACGTAGACAAGATTCTCTTAGGGTTTTCCACAGAGGTGGGGATGGAAAATTACGCTCACAAGCCACCAGCCAAACCTATGACCAACAAAAATATTTCATCAACGCGTGAAGGAAGAATTATATAATTTATTCAACTGCTTACCTCCAAAAGTACCCCTAATACTCTTTCACACAATTGTTCACCAATGTCCTCTCTTATTGCCGGTGGTGCCAAAAGTGCATCGTTAATACCGATTAAAAATAAAAGTAAGCTTTCCCAAGTTTCTCTTTCCAAATTTGTTGAGCTCCTAGCAACTTGCTGCAAAGTTCTCAAAACTCTGTGACATAATACTGCTTGCTTATTAATTGTATCAGTTCCTAAAACGTATAAATATCATAAAAATAAAAAAAATTAAAAAAAATAAAAAAAAGAATATGAAACGAGCTACATGCTACATTTCCATGCAAGTATATGTTAAGTGTTACCCAAATCCTGGTATATAAATGGCCAGACTACGAAAAAAGAAGTTAACATTAACTAAGTGACGTACAAGGAGAGTGTTAATGTTCATTAGTTCAAAAAAACACAGTATTAAAAAGTCACTGAAAGAAAAACTACGGCAAATGTTATTTACCACTACCCATCACCACTAAAAGATAAACAGAAAGATTTCTCAAAAAAAGTGCAAGATGTTTTGTTCATTATTGTATTTGCTGTTGTTTTTCTCTAATGGTTATTACCACAACAAACTAAAAATGTAAATTCAATTAGTTGTACAATAATTTTAATTACCTTCCCCCTTCCTAGGTACAAAAAGATTGTGCAAATGACCAATAATTTTCCTGGCATAATAATTCGAATCATCAGCAATAGGCTTAGGCACACATATTTTTGGTGAAGTGTACAAAGCTGACAGCCATTCGCAGTAAACGTTCACACAATCTCTGACTGTGTCGTGTTCTGTCAAAGGAAGAGATAGTCCAAAGCAAATGACTTCCATGCACCATTGGACTTCCTTATCCGTTATCAAAGGGCTTGCCTCAGCAGCTTGGGCAATACCAAGATTGGCTGCTAATTGACGAACTATTGACAGAGTCACATCCTTACCAACAACAGAATTAAATTTTTCCAACACACTTTGGCTGTCCTCTGATCCCTGCTGGATTAATATACTCAGAGATGCCCATTCTGAGTACATGTTGTCCCCTAAATCCTAAAACAAAATGTAAATAGTTATTAAATAGAAGAATCAATAAAAAAATGTTTTACAAAACTGATATGACAAAGCTACATGTCTCTAAAAACTACTTTGAATATATTTAATCGATTGTCAAATTCACAAGTATGTATGCAATGATAAAACAATAAATATTTGGACAAAAAAGATAACAAGTGGTAAGAAAACAATAAATTCACCAAAACATATACATAAATTAAAACTGCCTCTAAAAAATAATTTTAAAAATATTAGCTTCCAATCAAAGTACGTATCGTTATACATCCCGCTTTGTTTACAAAACAAGGCAATCTTGTGTGTATTATTTACGAGTCAAAGAGCATATAAAATAAAAAAACAATATTACCAAAGCCTTACCTTAAGGTTAACACGATTAAAAACGCCTAGATTCATAGATTATTTGCATGGACTCCTGGCTTCGTTCTCTCGTTATTTTTTTTTTTTTATTCCTTCACTGCAACGAATTCCCGTTCCCAATCATACTTAATTGGAGAAAAAAGGAGTCTGACACTTGCTTGCCTGCAACTTACTTCCCCATTCATGGCACATATAATTTTCACACGCCTCACCTTTATAATATTAAGTACCTAGGCGTAGCTATAGCACTCCTTTTTCATCTCTTCAGGATCGCGGGAATATTGTACTTTCATTTGATTTCTCTCTCACACGCTTTGTCGTCATTGTAAATTGTAACATATGTTTGTTATCTTGCGCCTTTTCTCAGTATTAGCTGATTGAAATAAAAAAAAAAAAAAAAAAACTGTAAAATAATTTTCATGAAGATCAATGTTTACACTCATTCTCTACTTTTATTTTGCAATCAAATGATTTTTCAAACAAATTTGTGGACGGTCTTGATATTATGTTGTGTCAATGTACATTATAAAATGAATATGGGAAAAAAATTGTTACATACTGATCGACTATTGTAATTTTAATTTTGCAATGAACTTGTAAAAAATAAATTTGAGCTCACAATAATTGACAGTCCAGCGCAATAATATATACAAACAAGCTCCGAAACTTCGATTTCCAAACGCAACTCCTTACAAATATATATATATGTGTGAATGTGAATCACACCTTCTACACACATATCAACATCTGTAGCAAGCAGAAGACGAAGAAGAGAGAACCGAAGAGTTCACACTTGGCGTGCTGCAGAACAGCATGCATGTATATATAAAAAAACTCTCGGGAGTGTACATTATATTTAACATGACGATAATTATAAATGTAATGAAGTGACCTCTTCATATACCAGTCGTCGATTCCTCATTTATAGCGCATTAAAATTTTCACGAAGTTAACACAGTGTTCCCAAACCAAAGTGTCTGCAAAAAGATAACAAAGTGAGGTTAGGAAGTGTAAATGTCTCATATGTATTATATATAGACACGTATTGTTGCACGAGAGTACGACGCCTACACCGAAAATAGATATACCTGGAGTATGTGCATACTTGTTCACGCACACTTTTAATGCTTTAGTTTTTGTGTGCGACTTGGAGAACTCCGGGAAGTCATATGCTTTGAAGAAGTGGGTGTAAGTACACTTGGTGGCTGCTACTCTCTACTCTCTTTGCTGTCTCATTACTTTACCTATACCTGGATATAGTACTTAGTATCAGTTAAGGAACTCTCTTTACTTGGCTTTGCTCTCTCCTCTCTCTATAGCCACAGTAGGACGAATTCACGTAAAAGAGATATATAAATATATACATAGAAGAAAGAGTGAGCATAAGGATACAGTTGCTCTTTTTTCTTCCAAAGGACGAAGCGGAGGCGCTCCGAAAGAGGTGTGCAGTGCTTCTGACTTCTGCTATGCTGTTGATGTCAATCATCAGTGCATGTACATACACACACTTATTTTTGTTTTAATGTCAAGTGCATCAGGTGCAGTTGTCAATTTGTCATCTATATATATATTTGTGTAGATCATTTTTCTTTTTCTTTTACTTGTACCTATAGCAGAACTTTATATGCTCTGATACATTAATATGGATGTGACGTGCGTTGCCCCCCTAAGTCCATATCATCATCACAATCATCACGCTTTTGACATATCTATCCTTTTTTTATCCTAAAGGGTAGGTATACTCAGATACGTGTCTTCGTCGCCGTTGTGTATATTTTTTTTTTTTTTTTGTGACTTTGCAGCGCGGGGGTTGACATGCTTGATTTTGAAAGTGTTTTTTTTTCGACTGTACACTAAAATACGCAATAGTACGAGATTTCTTAAATTACATCATTGTGGGACATTTTGGTGTCGGTTTTTTATGAGGTGTAAGGGGTTAATTTTGTGTTTTAAAGACGAAAGTTAGGTGATGTGCAATGTATTGCTGAAATGCAGCGGCTCTTTTTCTACCCTGCCCAGACACTACCCAAAATCAATACCCAACGCGTATATGACGGCTCTCTCGTGCGCCGTAATATCAGAGCACACTTATAAGTGTGCACGTATTACATACCACGTATAGATAGATGTGTATTACAGGTGAGAAGTAACTGTCCACTACATCACCACATTCTTCTTTTCTGTTAAATACTTATCTGTTCTGTAGCTCATTCAAGCCGTGATGTAATCTTGACAGGATTATTCCTTTAGATTCTTATCCATCATTAACCTGCCACTGTTGATTTAGTTTGAAATCAATGTACAAGTTTGTTGGCTTCTTTTTTACTTGGAAATTTTAATGCACTGTCGAATTGGTAATTTGATTTAGAAACACGAAGTGGGCTATTATTTGAGTGACATGATTTAATAAGTCAACGTGATATTTGCTCTTGCTGTGTGTTGCTATAAAAGAATTATTCCACTGGTTCTGATAAAAACAAGCTTTATTCAGCTTCATGCAACAATTGCATTTTAATTTTTTATTGATTAGGCACAATTGAACCATGATGTCCGATCGTAAAGCCGAATTAGAAAGGAAAAAGGCTAAACTTCAGGCCATCAGAGAGGAAAAAGAAAGAAGGAGAAGAGAAAAAGAGCAGAAAGATGTAAACAATTTTAAACATTTTTTTCGGGATGATAATTTGAACTAAGGAATTTCATAATTGCTTGATGTTACTATCAGGTGGAAGAGGCAAGACTTCGGGCCTCAAACACGAATAGAGATCAACAAAAAGAAGTTGATGCACTGTTGTCCTCTTTTGGTGTAGCTCCTGTTTCAGGTAATGTACATTGATACAACGAGTTGCATAAAGTTGCTGATTTTAGATGATACAGGTTGAATTGAAGGATAATTAATTATTGTACCACAAATTTGTTATTTCAGAAGTACTATCTAGTTTATCCAGTGCAAACTCCATAGCTACTCCAGAGCAAAGTATCAACGCAACTCCAGATGCCAGTTTACAGCCAAGTAGTATTAATTCAACACAGAGGTATACAAATTTTTTTTTAAGTAATTTTGACTGCATTGCGTAAAAACTTGAAAATGGCGTGAAAAAAAGTTTCAAGTGTACCCAATGCATAACAACTTAATAAATAATATGTATTAACATGAACAATTCGACGCAAACAATTGAACAGTGTGCCCAAAAAACGAAATCGCGAACTTACGATAGTATCGGTAGCCCACACGAACATTCCACCCAAAGAGCCAGTTGTCTACACGAAGCAGACGCAAACAGCGCAGGTTGTCCACGCGAGCCACGACGGTGAGTGCGACTTGTTTCATTATTTCTAATCTCACTTTATTTCTTCCCTTTTTACGATTCAAATGTATTCCCAATTACATCTAGATACTGACATAAATACAAATACGTCTTGGTATACTATAACAGAAAAGCAATTTTTTTATTTTTCTATCTAATGTGTCTTACTTGAATCCTTGATTTCTGTATTTACTATTTGTGAATTCCGTGATTTTACTGACAAACAGTTTAATTCTTTGATTGAATACTAATGTATGGAAAGATATAACAGCATATTTGTTTCTATAATTTAATATAATGTAATTTAATACAATAACCTGTCCCCTAATTATTAACATATCACTGACATATTATTCGAATTTTTGTTGTTACTGTTTTTATTCAAAGTATAAATATTTTTGAATGTTCCAACTAATAAACTGATGGCCACTCTTT